ATGATAGAGGAAAACGGAAGGGGGGGGAGGCTGGTGAAATCTTGGATTGGTTATTTAGCGACTTAGAAGAGGTATCTAATAATCAGATAAAATTATATTTGCGGAAATCATACAATGCATGCATCTTTGCCGTTTTAGAAGTATGTATACAGTATTAGTATTGTACATATCCTCCTAATGTTTTCGCCCTTTTCCCCATCACCCCTACCGTCTAGCAATCTCTCTCCCATCAACCCAATTAGCAATCCAATTCACCACCACCATTACCCTCCTCCTCCAGCCCCTCGTCCACGCAATACTCCCACTCCTCCACGCCAACCAAGCTGACGCTCCTGTCCAATCTTTCTTTCCCTGTATAACCCCGTCACCTCTTCCTATATAGGCTACCAAATCTTTTTGTTCATAGCTGAATGGTTTTCCGAGTTCTTCTTCTGGATTCTCCAGAAGATGTTTTGTGAGCCATTTTGCCTTTTGCACCGCAACTTCCGCAGTGGTGGGTAATTCGTTATTGAGGATATCAGCTGCGTCTCCGAGGGCGTACACGTTCTCGATAATATCCCCGCCTGCTCCTTCTACACCATCGGAATCAGGCTTGAGGACTCTCAACCATTTATCCGTGAGAATTCTCTGCAATCCTTCGCTTTTTCTGCAATTCAAATCTTCGACGAGTTTTCCCGCTGTGTTGCCGACGGCCCATACTACTACTCCGAATGGAATCTCGCCTTCTTCTTTGACAGTCATACTATGTCGTTTAATTTCTTCGATGTGTTTTCCCGTTTTCACTTTGACGCATCCTCTGTTTTCGAATTTTTCCATCGCGTACTCGCTGAGTTTTTCGTCGAATTGTCCGAGTAGTCGATCCGCGACGTCGTAGATACTAATCGTACATAATCCTTTTAGTCTCGGGTATACCGCTCCAAGATGTTCCTGAATCAATTCATCAATTTCAGCCGCCAATTCGATACCGGTGGGTCCACCCCCAACAATGGCGAAATGTAACATGTCCCTTTTTTCTCGCTCCGATATTGTAGGGAGAGAAGCTCGTTCCAGACAATCCAGAATCCCCTCTCTTAATCTCCTCGCATCCGGTACTGTTTTCATAAATAAAGCGAATTCCTTCACTCCTGGTGTTCCGAAAGTATTTGTTTCGCACCCGGGAGCTAAGATTAATTTATCATATTTTACATCAAAATGCGCTTCGTCCTCTTTGATATCACTATAAGTTGGGGAATCCATCGATTCGCCACTAACGCCACTTCCTCCAATACAAGCTTTACATTTGATGGTTTGCGATTTGAAATCAACAGAGGTGACTAGAGCTTGGTATTTTTCGAACTTGGAATCTCGCCGACGAACGGGTTCTTCGGCGAGACGGAAATCAAAGATGGAACAAGCGGCTGAGGCGAGGAGGGGAGTGAGAGCCATTGTTCGAGAGGGGGAAATGGCGATTATGTTGTAGGGAGATGTGGAGGTGGTGGTGGCGGAGAGCTCTTGAGCGAGTGTCCAGCCAGCCCAGCCGGTGCCGATGATGGCTATGGTTGGTTTATGAGGGTGGGATTGAGGATGTGGCGAGGAGTCTTCATTTGTAGATGTAGAAGGAGGACGGGATATTGAGGTTTTAGAAGCATTGCTTCTCGTGGCTGGGGTCATGCTGAAATATGATTTTTGATTGATGATAGCGGGGTAGAGGATGGGCTCCAAAACTCTATTTGGTATATGTTTGATTGAAATTCTTCCAGTATTTGGAGTAATAAAAGTGCAAAAATCTCGAGTACTAACTCTAAACTTTCCTTCCAGAAAACGACTTTTATACATCCCAAATATAAATCATACAATGTAGAGAAAACAAGGAAAGAGAATGCTTATCAATACAATGGATACACGGGGAAGTGGTATATCTACATGGTCCTCGACTTACCTTTTACCAGTATTTTGCATAGCTTGGTATGCGGTAGTTCCATGTACTGACGGCATTGATATCTCTTAGCGTATACGGGATCCATAACTGTCGTGATCTAGATCCAATAGTCTGATCGCAGATTCCATGGAATTGTGGTCTTGGATGGGATTTCACGAGTAGCAAAATGTATCAACAATTACCTACCTACTGTGTAATCCTCGAGTTCGCTGCTGTTGTGGTGGAGAAAGATTGTCGTGTCGATGTTATCAGAACATTCCGAGATATAAATTTTGAAAATCGGTATTCGGAGTCCATCAATCATGACGTAGAAGAGTGGAGGTCGGATCGGACAAAGTAAAGTTCAACCGCATAGCACGTGACTATACTCCACACCAGCTTAGCCGAGAAAAGCTAATTGTGGCCCGTGATTTAGTCTCTGAAAATGTTAATTTTGTTGCACGTCTCATTTAAACAAGATTTCAAAGTGGAGTTTAGGGTATAAGTCAGATTTCGAAGCTCAAAACCATCAAGCTTAATAACACATTGAATGGTGAATGTTTTCTTTCTTTCTTTTGCTTTGCACGTGATCTTCGGCTGGGTTTCTCGAATAGAAATTACCTCCCAAGGAGAACAGAGCTACTGGTCACGAGGGAGATCTAACATGTAGGAGATTAATATCACGGTTTCATTGTTTAATGCATTGATTTCCTCAATTGCATTTGCTAAAACATTTTAGATTGCAAGACTTCCTACCCCATCAGATTTCCACAAAGCTTGTTCGCCTAGATATCTGCCCGCCCGCCCAATTGTCTCTAAATCTACCACGGAGCACCGTCAAATAGCTGCGCCAATCCTTTATACTTATCCACGATAGTACCATCAGCATGGGCCGGTAACCAAGCTAGCATAGATGGTACATACATTCGCGGAAGAGGAACAACTGAAGGGTCAACTTGGGCATCTGCAAAGAACCAGCCCACCAGGCCCATGACTGGTTCCCTGGTCTTCCAAAAATTCACGACGTCTCCATCCAGCGCAATGTTTCGAACGATAGCTTTTCTGTAGTCCTTCCAATCTCTCATTACGTATTTAGCATCCGCTTGAAGACTCACCCTCGCTGATATTTCCCATTCTCCTTCTGCCTTGTATTTCGTATCCATACCAGTAAAGTCTTGAGTAAAGAAATCGCTGTCCATGTTAAGGATCCAAAATTCCAATTTTTGACTTTTAACGGGTGGATCGTTGGGATGAAAATAATTGCGGCCATCAAGAAGAAAGTACACTTTTGAGAGTGCGGGGCAATGTAGACTGATCATTTTGAAAAAAATGTGCAGACGAAGAAGCTCATAATTTACACCAACCACGTTTCCGGGAAGCTCCCAGGTCATGCCATCAAGGGAGGCATTTTGGAGCGCTAGACACTTGATATTGGACATCGAGATAGTACCACCAAAGCTGTACAAGGTGAAGACGTTAGCCGCATCCAACATGAGGATATCTTTATCTACTCTCATGTAAGTATAAGCTCTCGTGTTAGGCTTCGTAGATGCTTTCCAACGGTTTACAATTTCGTAATTGCGAATGTGCGGAGGAATCCCCATCACTGGGTTCGATATTGTGAAAGGAGTTATCGTTCCCAGACGTGTGATTTGGATATTCTGAACGTTTCGATATACCTCGGCGTTTGAAGTAGTACTGGCTTTGAGTAATGGGAGCATACTGGGATTTGTGGGTATGGAAACCTCCAGCTGTCGAACTATTTTTCGCGCACTGTGATCGTGGGTTTCAGTAACTTTGAAAGCCATATCGATGACCTGGGGGCTTGGTAACGCCGCCTTGAAGATCGCGCATTGAACTTCCTCTGGAAGCGTGGTAAATTTTTCGAAGGTTCCATCGCGTGGATCTCGCTTATCTTGATACCCCTCTTCGCAAGGGGTTAGAGGAGGACAGTCTTTACACATGGTGTGGTGCAAAGAATAATTCGTCAATGTGATCGGTATGTTTATTATTTCGTGACAGTTTTGGGGCGTGTTGAGAGTCGAGTTTGCAATTTCGAAAGATAAAGTGATGGAATTGAGAAGCTTTCTCTTGTGAATAATATAGTAAAATCTGAAAGGTACGGTTGAGACAATAGTAGTACCGGCTTTGTAGTACTACCGTAGAACCGGCTTTGTAGTTCAAGCTTCATTATTCACGTAATTGGTAACGGGTAGAGCTCTCTGTACGGTTCGTTTAGATGAATAGGAGGATATTGACGTCAGGTCGTATTTGACCATCAAAACTAACACATTGATGAACACTAATTGAGTTCTCCTGGTACCGTAGATTGAATCAAAAATCTCATCTCTAGTCATAGCTAAGTATTCTCCAATTGGAACACCATCCTGATCATTCTATGGTGCAGCAAGTTCAAGTAAATATGAATGATTTGATGGATTTTTGGACAATTTCGTCGACAGTAGATGGAATGCATGATATTATTGGGTCACATATTACTGTGGAGTACCATGTAAGGTTGCATCGACCGTAGTGTATTGCAAAGCAGCTAAGCGTAGTCGCTAATACTGCACCTACCATATGCTTCTAAGTTCTAGCGAACTCACTTTTCTTATAAGATGTCCATTTCACCAAGAACATTTCCAAATACTCACTCTATTATCACATAATAGTTTCTTAAGCTACTTTCAGGTTTCAAACATCTTACAATTCAACACCATGTCACTCGATTTCACCCATTCTCACAATAATGATATGATTCCTCTCGAAGAGGAAACAGCTGATGAGGTAGTTCAATGTAAGTAATCTTCCATGGCGTTAGATAACCCAAGTTGGCAGAATGTACACAGGCTTTCATATCCAGAATAAGTTCAATAATTGAAATTAACTGGACAGTCCATGAGTTGAAAGTGTCTGACCACCGGACTGCAATTTGAACTATTGAATCTCTAACTATGTCTTTGTCATATGAAATCGCTAACACAATGAAGTTATCGTTAATCCACCTCTTCCACGAATCTATGATTCTACTGGAGACACGAAAACCTTTCACAAATTTGGTTACTTACCTATCGAGTTACAACTAAAGATATTCAAACACGCAATGCCAGCCGCACGTGTCATTCAATGGAAGCGCGAAGTTTTTCGGCCCTTATCCGATGAGATTTATCCTATGTTCAATTTACGAAAGTTTCCGGGCCTGTTCTCTTTACTTAATACATGCCGGGTTTCTAATGAATCAGTCCATCGCCATGGTGGATTTGTCAGAATCAAGTCGAACTATGGAAGAGCATACCCTACGAAAACGTCACAGATGTATTATGCCTTTGTGCATTATGATTATTTGCGGCCTAATCACGATGTTTTCTTGTTGAATTATTATAATTTGATTGAGTCGCATCCCATCAGTGTATCGATCGACCTTCAAAGCTTCACCCACCTTGTCCTTCATTCAAATAAAGCAGTACACCATAGACCTTTATTTGTCATGGGTTTAGAATTCATTCAAACTCATTGCCCAAATATCAAGAGGATTAGTATTTGTGTAACATCTCCCTATTCCTTTGCATTGGATCGTCCCTTCAATCGGTATGTCATTACCAGATTCATCGACATTGATGAGAATCTTCTGAAGCTCAAGCTCTGGTACTCGGTCAGGACACGAATGTCAAACCCAGAGCGCAATATTTATTTGTACATGAGATCAATAATGGACACCGCAGCTGAGATAATGTCTGATGTTGACACATTCTACAAGAAGATGGACACAAAAAGTATGGCATTCTGGAAGAACGTTCAGGTAGTCCCTGTTCTAGACTGTGGATCAAGAAATCCTCTTGATGAATCCGAGCTATACATTCCAGCGATATCGGCCTATGCATGTTCCGATAATGATGGAAACCTTCAAGCTATACCTTGGGCGCGGAGCAGATCTGTTCTTCATTGTTCGGAACCTAGTTAGTGTTTGATAGATGGTGTTGCAAAGATAGTCTTGAGCAGGAACAAGAATACTCTTTGCTTACCTCTTGCTTGGTAAGACTCCTTAAAGAAGTGATGGATAGGAAACATGTCTAATAATACAAGCCATATAACTACATCTAATAAGCCAGCTCAAGTGCAGTAATTCATGGTGATCTTGAGAAAAACGATGAGCTAAGAGAGTGTATACTATTCATCTTTTAGCTGATACACAAAGTATGAAATCACATTGAAACTCTACAATTCACACAATGCAATTCCTTTTGCAGATTACAAGTACACTAAGTATTCACTCTATTCTATGAAAGATATTAAATCATCATTGTCTCCAAGTTGCCATCCGAGGATTCACCCAAATAAATAACCGTATCTACCCGAAGTTTCCTTGATTTCGGTTCGAATATCGGCTGTACTTATACAGCTAGCCTTGTGCTCGGAAAACCTTTAAAAACTCTCGAAGATTTCAAGTTGACTTTTCAATCCAATCTGGTCACACCACAAAAGTGGTAGTTTTCCTCCACAGATTATCCGTGTCGATTCTTTGGTGGGATAATGAGATTTTCTCTATTGTAACAATATTCAATACTTCAACACTTCAACACTTCAACACTTCAATACTAAAAACTCGAATCTGCGACAAAAAATACACCATAGCAACAATGTCAAGAATATTGAGTGAAAATGACACATCTGATTCAGAAGCTTCAAGCTCTTCTGAAGAGTCTTCCCCTAAGGATTATGAAGGTAAAATTATTTGGAAAGGTTCTTTTTCCAGATTTCCTAACAAAATTCAGTAGAAGAGGATTCCATAGTATCAGATGATGATTCAGTATCTGGAAGTACTAGTGGTAAGAACTCATGCATTGTATGATAGATATTCGCACATTATTGCTAATCAAATACAGCTACAGAAGCATCTCAACCAAGCTCTTCTAACTCAACTTATCCACCCGAAGCCGCAACAGCAACTTTGACAGAATTCCACCCCTTTAATCGATTTCCTCCGGAGCTGCAGACAATGATCTTCAAGTTGGCATTGCCTGTTTCTGACCCACTTCTCTTGAAGTTTGAGATCGACGTTGAGGAGCTTCCTGCTATAATTCGTCAGAATAAGAAAACAGGAAAGATTCACCACTCGCATAGAGATTTCACGATCACAACCTTTGCCTCTTGTGCTAAATCTCCTCCCTTATTGCCACTTTTACTAGCATGTAAAGCTTCTAATAAGGCTGTATCAAGCGGCGGATATGAAAGAATTGCGGTCTCCTTTCCAGACAATAACAATCGACAGAACAACTATGTTATGGAGCAGAAGCCTCACCTGAACATCGAATATCTTACATTACCGCCTCCGCAGCGCAATCATACTTGGCTACGACCTGAAAAGGATACGGTGGTGGTTTATGCAGAAGATTTCGTGATGCTGTATCATCATGGCGGCTCCATGAACCTTTCTAATATTATACATCTGGCGGTACACAACTTGTCAGGAAGAAATCGGCGTGATGAAATTAAAGTTAAAGCTCGAAATCTTTGGAAATGGGTCTTCCTTATTGCAGAAAAGCACTGCCCAGCGTTGAAGAAACTCAGTCTCCTTCTCGGTATCGACTTTGCAGAAAATTACGATGATGATGATTGGGCCGCTGAAATCGATACACATCACATCATCGTTGATGTTGATGAAAAGTTCTACCAACTTGATTTTCACCATGAATCAGATGATGCATATGATCGCTCCGTGGAAGATGGTGAACGATTTGAAATCGAAGAGCTATTTGTAAATGGAAAGAATGCTGTTGAGCTAAAGGATACATCGACTGTACTAGCAGAGTATCTGGATGAACATATGGACGACGAACACAAAGCTAATTATTGGAAGAATGTCGATGTCATCCCTGGCTTTCGAGCTAGGCCCAATCACATGGAGAATGTAACAAAGATTATGGGTGTGGGCGCGTGGGTACCCCAGGATGCCAACGGAAAGCTAGTTTACAGGGCTTAGAAAAGGAAATAGGAGGCAGAGATTCTGCGGAGTTATGAAAGTGGTGGTATGTTAGACGACAGATTTGGTGATTTCGGATATCGATCGGAAGTTTAGGAACATTCAGAGGCTGAGGATCTTGCTTCTTCGACACGGTTACTATGTACTGAGTGAAGTTTCAGAGCAGGAATTGCTGAGACTTTGGTTACTGGGATTTTAGGAAAAATGGGTTACTCGTAAAATAAAATATTAAACCATTGTAAAAAATAATTCCTTTGCTATTCGATGCTGTGGCAACTGCTGCAGAGTCACACATTGAAATGAAAGCCAGAAGTGACATTACAACACAGAGAAAACTGAAGTCCCAACAACCCTTGCTGCAATACTCAAGTGACTGTCCTTCAAGACATACGTCGATCCGCTGGTGGAATTGGTATCATATGCCGCCAGAGCCAACGCTGTATCAAAGTAATTGTTCATTTCCACACCACTCCACCGCTTTCCTGTTCCATATTCTCCATCTATGAATCTCAACCAACGATCATAGTCTGCTTCCCCAAGTGACACTTTAATTCCAGCAGGTACTTCTTCAGTATCTTCTGCAAGAAAAATTCCACGCTTTTTCAAAACGTGCTGCCAAACTTGAAGATTTTCTGATCTGCTCCAGAAATCGCTTCCGAGACATACATTCATACCTCTCAGAACTTGCTCCTCCACATCATCTTTTATATCCGTCGTCAGAATTACAATGCCTTTAAACAGTTCTAACTCCCTCAGAAATAATCCTGGCATATTGGAATCACCATCTGAAGGGCTCTTGCGGTGCGGGAACCGACGTTCCGCATCTGGAATTGCAATTATACAGTTCCATTTTGTAGCTCGTTTGAAATGGGTAGCAAGCTCCCGTGCAGCATCCCATGTGATCATGCCAAGATCTGCGCTAGTTATGGTGTACAGTGGTCTATTGAAATGAGAGGCAAGTGCTTTTACGGTGAGAAACTTCCCTGTGTTCTTGGGTCCATGGAGCAGAATTGCTAGGCTGGCTTTTATTCTCATTAGTAGGATTCTTAATTTGAACTATGTCAAGAACTTACATTGATCCCTGCTTTTTCTAAATGATAGTGAGTGACTGCTGGGGTGCGTTCCCACCAATGCTTTCAATAGACTCTCGTGTCCTTCAGGTATTACGAGAGATTTGAAATCCACAGGATTCTCTACGCCTTCTTGTTTCAAATCACTTATCGTATCTACACTCAGCATCTTCCATATTTTTCTCTCCAGCACAAACCCCTCAACTGTAGGCGGCAATAACATGAGGAACTCATCTTCCAGTTCATCGTTAACATCACGAGGATGCAAAAGATGAAAATCATCTTTGTACTTGGCCGCACGGTCATTGTCAACAACATTGTCCACGATCAAGTCCGAGCATCGACATCCGCGGTCATTAAAGTATTGATTGTTCGATACTCCATAGTGTGTGCAATTCTCTGCGGTTTCCCTGGAATCGAACTCAATTGCGTCAAAAAGACCAATAGCTTTGTTCTCAATCTCGAACTCGCTGTCTATGATGACTTCGCTTTTTATCTATTCAAATGTTAGCCTTGATGATTAATGCGGGATGCTTCACTTGCTTCTTCGCGTTCTTTCTTGAGATTCACGAAAGAACTCGTTCCATATACTGGCGGTCGCCCTGCAAATTTCAAATCTTCATTATTTGACGAGTTTGATACTTCTTCTCCAGCACTGCCCAAGTAATACTTGTGATCACCTTGCTTCAAGGATCTTAGTTTCTTTCCTCTAGCAACAAGATATGATGTTCGATTCTTCCGCTCACTGATCGAGAGTAACTTGAGGGGTGCAACCGTAACTCTCTCTGTCATGAGCTCCCCATCCAGTTCAACTAGTAATTCTGACACTGACTTCTTTCCAGCATACTCTGATATTCTTAAAGTTTCATGAACCGGGCCAACGACCTTCCAATCAGACTTCATATAGAAGCAGTTGATATTGAAAGGTGAGCACACTGCTTTCTTCTCAAATAATTCCGGTTTAGATAACCGCAGTCGACCACCCGATGTATGAAAGACTCGGTACGCACGAGACATGGGATAGGTGACAATCAGATCGCCGGGACTGAATAAATGCCAAAGATCGGTGAAAGCTATCTCGGTGATAGTACCGTCTTTGATCTGTTGTCGGAGTTCGAAAACATGTTTCAGATCGTGGTCCATGAATTCGATCAGACACTTTAAGTGAGCCACTCTGGTATCGATACATGCGAGAGGAGTTTCGTGAGGAGGATAGACAACATCGCACACCTCACAACTCGAAGGTGGATCTCTAAATCGGACCTTGCGATCTGATCTTCTGTCTTCATGAACTTGATCGGCTACTTTGTTTTTGTCTTCCAGCGAATCTTCCTCCAGCTTTTCGTCTCGAGAATTCATCATTTCCTCCAGTTTTCGCAATCGTGATCTGATTGCTTCCTCATACTCCACAAGAACCTTCCAAGGCCCAGTCAAAACTCTACGCCATTCACTTATCAAAAGACCTACACCAGCTCCTATTAGTATTCGCAATTCGTCTCTCAAGGCCTCTGAATTGATCGCCACTCTAATCGTTTTTCCATCCTCCACCGCAACATCTAGTACATGCTTTCCTCGTTGCTCCATATACTTTGATCCTGCCCAATCCTTGAACTCCATTCTATTTATATTCAGCTTGAGTTCCGCTGCTTGCTTGCTTACACGGACTTCAATGATTCCAGGCGATGAAGCTCGGTTGGAACGAACACGTGATGGATATGGAGAGTTGGAGCGACGGTTCTCAGAATTGCGTCTGGTACGTGAAGCACGAGTTGCGGCCCAAAGAAAATCTTGTTCATACTCGGGGACCCAACGTTGAATCAAGACGTAGTCTGGATTCTATTTCATAAAAAAATATCAGTTTTTGAGATCTCAATCATAGTGGAAAAGAACATACCTGACTATCTATCACATAATCTATGTTGTGTTCTTTCAAAACCTCAATAGATAAGTGTCGAAGGTGCATTCGGGTCCAAGTAGGGCGCATTTCGGATGTCTCATTTTCAGGGATTCTTTGAGCGGCCTCGGACTCTCTACGAAATATCAGAGGATGAAATTCAAAAATTCGATATGCTAAGATCTGCTTACTTATCACCGGTAGCCTCTTCCTCGTCGTCGCTAATTTCCTTTTCCTTGTTGTTCTCCCCCTCACCACTCACAACATCATTATCCACCTTTCCTTCCTCTTGGACATCCCCCAAAGGCTGCGTAATATGTTCAAACCCATCTGATGAGTCCATGACTTCTCTCTTATTTTCCACAATTTCTCACAATTTCGGACTCCAAATCTTTCTTAAAAATCCAAAATGCGGAAAGTAATTTCTTCTTATCAAATTCTGTGTTCTAGGCACCAGCTCCGTAAAGTTCCACAGACACCCCGCCTCGCATGTCAGCTTTTGGGCTGTGTATCGATAACCGGGCTATGATTTGCAGGCAATTTAGGGCTGCAAGCAATATGTGGGAATTTTGGCTTGGCGTGGAGCTGAAAGTTAATATATTGGGCTGCATGTCAGCAGACTAATTTTGGGTATGAAAATCATTCTTTTTTTGAAACTCTATTCGAAGAACCTCACAAACAAATCAGTACGTGGTTATAGGGAGATATACACGGAAAGAATCTATGTCAGCAGGGATATCACAAACAGTCACACAAATTATTGGTCATTTTATTTCAGTTGAATTGTCATCTAATACGCTTCGGTTTTCATATTAATCAAAGTTTAAAGCGTTTATACATCTCTAAGCTAGTCGTTACTAGTACACACACTCCTCCAATATCAACCTTGTTCATGCTCGCTTTTCCACACTAGCTTCTCGCTAAATTATCGATACGGGTATCCCTTTACAACCTCCACAATACAGACGAGGTGAGTGCTAGCGAAACTCAAGTAAACCCATAGCCTGAACCCGGAAATCTACTTCTGCAGAGTCTGAACTAGGCGTTTCTCGCTAATAGGGTGAGGGTGTTTTCGTGAGCAAGTGTCAACGATTTCAAACTCGACGGATTTACAAGTCCGCCCCCTCAAAGAGATCAAATATCCCCTCATATCTATCGAAAGGAGTTCCGTCATCATAGCATGGAAGCACAGATGATAGTGCAGGGAACCATAGTTGGGGCCTTTTCCCACCTTCCAACCAGCCTACTATAGCCGGAACTACTTTCATTTTTCTCCAGTAATCCGCTACGGCACTGTCTGATAGCATTTCCGTTCGTTCTGCATAGTCTTTGAGCTCGCTCATTGCGTGTTGCGCATAATTGAAAGCATTATTTATCTCTGCCTTAAGACTTTCTAATTCGTAATATTCTTGCCTCTCTTTGTCCTCCTCAAAATCGAAATTTCGAAAGTCTTCGTCTATTTTGATCAGTCTCAGATCTCGAGTCAACTCAAGACTATCTTTCACATGACCGAACGGAACTGCTTCAGTGTCGCCAATAACCAGATGAATTTTCTTGAGTGCTGGGCAGTGTTTTTGGATCACATTGCAAAACTTCTCGAAGAGATTCGTTATTTCGACCTCGTTCCAATCATCGAAAAGATTGTAATCTATTCCTGTTACAGCGAGTTGCTCAATGTTGCACAGGGATCCTATCGAGCCGCCAAGTTGATATAATCTCACGAGGCTATCAATGCTGACCATGAATACATCGATCGAAGGTCGAAAATACATGTAGTTGAGAGTATCAGGAAGTGTCTCAGTTGTATCAAGAAAGTGACGGACTGGGGGACGGAATAGTTCGATCTTCTTAAGGCCAGCACGGCGATGCATAGTGTCGTTTGAGGCTTTGCAGGTCTCTAAGAGAGATGAAACGCCAGGGAATTTTGCTAGCGCAGATCCGAAGTTGATGATATCGGTGAATCCACCACGTTTCCTATGAATCCAGAAATGGAAGTTCAGAACTTGTGAAGGTGGCAATGCCTGCTCAAAGATCATGCATTGAATTTCGAGAGGAAATTGACCGAATCGAGGAAACATCGTGGGATTATTCTTCAAGTGATTGGCGGATGAGCTCATCTTGGGTTGTGAGCCGCTATTTGAAAGTTCTCCGATTGTTCTAGGCCTTCGAATATTGATCTTTGGTGATTTAATTTTTTTGACTCGCAGTATCGGGCTCAATGAGGATGACTATCGATCTGATAGCTGTGAATCGAATTTTTTGACTGGTTCAGCTTGAGATAAGTGGATGTGAGCTTAGTATTTGTAGATATGATGAAGATGAATGGATGGAGCCAAATGCAACGTTCGAATGAGAAGAGAAATGCCCAGTATATATACTGGTCTACAGAACGAGCCGTATTGGTTGATTATGATGATAATGTTCAATGAATCGCGACAAACTGATTCATTTGTAATCTCATTATCACGGTAAAATCGCGCTGGCGCCGTATTATTTGATCGTTGAATTTGCTGGACGACCGAGGTAAAACTCTATGCTACGATTACATGCTAGAGCGTATTTTCAGACGTCAAATAAACTAGAATCAGAAAGCTAAAGGGGAAACAGATCCGTGAGGGATGTCTCTATCCCTTATGTAATAAAGATCGCTTAGTGAAAGCTAGTCTTGGACTGAGGTCGGCGTGATGTGTAATCACACAGATACGTGAAGTTCGTCACACATAGGTTTAGCAAGTCGCATTAAATATCTTGAGGCTATTACCGTGTTGATTACAAATGAGTGACTGAACAACAAGCCGTAATGAGTAGCAGAATGTTCACGGTCATTATCTTAATACAAGCATCTACAGATTCTAGCGGTCATCTCACTGTTTTGTATCTCGCGCCTGTATAACCGCATCAGCATTTGTGCGCTAGATGAGTACTCTCACTGTTCATACAATTAACGCAATAGCGTAGAGCAAACCCCAAACCGTAGGTCCCCTTGCCCAATAAGTATATAATCATTGTCGAAGCACTGCTGAAATCCCTCCAATTAATCTTCCTTCCTTCTAAAACTAACACCAATCACAACTCTCCATCAATAACGACCTTGTCTCGAACTTAAAAACTCCTCCAACCAAATCTACTATCAACTCTATCCACAGATTAGCTCTTTCGAACGGCGATCATGACTAAGAAGACCATTAAAAAATCAATCCTGAAAAAGGCAGCCATGAGAAAGGCACTGATGAGAAAGACAGCGATGAAAAAGAAGACCATGAAGAAGATGTCCACGAAAAAGACAGCCAAAGAGAATGCAACCATCGATAATACAATCATGGCTATGGATAACATGGAAATAGATACCCCTACTTCAAGCTGGCTCACAGCAAGTCAAACTCAGGCCTTTAAGGCTCTCGAACGCTCAACCGAGGACGATAGCTTTTTTGCATTTGAGTTTCTTCCTCTCGAGGTTCAGGTGATGATTTTGAAGTACGCATTACCTCAAAAGCGTCTCATTCGCATGGGATTTAGAACCGTGTTCAACAATTTCAACATGATCTTGAACTTTCAGATGCTACCTGATATGCATCTCACACCATTGCTCAATACCTCCTGGCTCTTCAATAACGAGGTGAACAAGGAATTCAAGAAAGTGGAGCTTCGGAAGTATTCCAGAGGTGTAAAGTCAAAGCTTTACAAGGCATTGCACGACGAAAATTACTCTCCTCCCGACTATTTCTGGGATCGCTGTAGACGCAATATCTTTCATGAGAGAGGATCCGGATACCGCTCTTTAAGCCATGTTTATATCCGACCCGAGACTGACACATTAATCATTGATTATCGCCAGCTTTTCATCCTCTACTTCGTCGGTGGATCCATTGACTTGTCAAATGTTAAGCATATCGCCCTCGCTAATGTAAGACCATTCCAATGGGACTGGCCATACCATCGTCTCCAAGAAGATGATGTTGATCGCTTAATACACGGTTTGATCAGTGTCGAATGTCCCAATCTCGAAAAATTGACATACATCATTTCAAACGACGACCCGATGACCGAGATGCACCTCGATACAGAAGAAGTGATTTTTGACGTCAATGATGAATTATACTACCAGGATTTCGAGTTTGAAGATGGAACATTGCACAATGAGCGCCCCCATAGCTTGATGCAAGCAAAGGCAGAAGTGGATGATTGCTTTCAAGGTTTTCTTGGACAGCTTGGCTCTGGATTTAGACTCAAGGACGATTTTATGAATTTCTGGAAGGTGCACGTACCGGGTGTAGGCATGATTGCGCGATTCGATGCGGATGCAGATTGGCGTTTACGGAAGAAGCGTTGCCCAGAGCCTAGGTATTATTTTGTGGGATTCGATACTTATTTGCCCGCTCATGCTGATGGCACGATTCTGGGTCCGTATAAGGGATTGGCGCAAATCTTTGAGGGCGCACCATGGTGAATGGATTACTGTTGGAGATGGAATTGCTGTCCGCGGAAATATTCAAGGGGAACATGGCTTTACGAGCTAACAAACTGCGAAGCGCAGGACTCTTTTGAACGAATCAGACAGGGCTGGGGGGAGGGGGGAGTTCGCTTAATGGTCTCTTGTTTTAGGATCGATTGACTCCAGTGGGAGTTCTGATAACTGGTTCAACACCTGAATAATTTAGGAAATTTAGGGTGTGCTCTTATGACATTGAGTGCAGTCCTGCTAGGACGAACAGACGGACAGAATATAGCCTATCTCTACATTCTCCTTATTTTCCTCGCTTATCTTCACACCAAAAAAAAAACAGTTCATAACTTTAGCTAGTCCCCCTTTTCAATACTTAAACATTTTTATACACCATATTCTTGTGACTGTCTTATGGGTGTAATCTAACAAATTAAAAAGGTTGTGAATTCCCATTCTAATATTATTGTGATTCAGCTGCGACTAGCAGGATCGTTTCTTTTTTGTGGTTTCTGCTTTCAATAGGCGGTATTCGCGTGTCTTATTATGTTTGAGACTAATAAATCAGGTGTACTGATAGTGACTTCCCTTTTTATATACATATACTTAGAAAGTAGAAGGATGAAAATGACAGGATCGAAGATTTTGGTACAGAGGAGAAGAGTTTACTGGGTGGTGATGGAAATAGAAGTAGTGGAAGCGGAAGCGATACTAGGCGGATGTAGATCTAATTGCTCTAGCTTAAGATTTTGATGAGTTTGAAACCGTCTTGAGGAGTGCTCACTCGTTGGAACCATCTACTCCCTTGCAAACACGAAAGGAATGGTTGAAGTATGTATAAAGTTGAACTCGGAAGTATTGATCTACTAAAATCGTTCCTTCAACTATCACATTACTTGTTGTTGGAATTCTCAGACTTGACTCAAGCCTTTCATAGGTAATGTAGAGTATGTTGAACAAATCTACTTGGAATGTGTATAGGAATAAAATGCTATCGCTCTCTCGCGATCCTGAAAATATTGAGGATAGATTGTGCTTACAATCTATAAGTACTAGGTAGATTTAACATCAAATTCGTGAAGTAGCAAAATTGGTCGGAGACACGATTAGGTGGAACTATAGGTGTGTATTCATCAGCTTTGTGATGTTCGGATAAAATCACGCGAGAATAATCCTCCAGTAGTATCGTGCCTTCACCCAATCATCACTAAACGCACCAAGGCTCAATTATAATCTGTATCCACTTGACCTCATGTGTGTCCTCTTTGTTCACTGTGTCCGTTAGCATACATTGTATATCTTCATCATTCATCGTGTACAAAACATACCTGTAGGTCTATTGAATTGAAAGTCAAACCCATATTTCTACACCAAAATGTCTGGCGCAAGCAATCCAGCTACGAATTTTTGTGATTTGCCTACCGAAATTCGTCGTGAGATTTGGAAATTTTGTTGTTCTGAAGAGAGGATACTTCACTTCAAAGTCGATGCAAATGTCCGACTACAGGAGTTTGACACTTATTGTCTTCAATACCTACCTCCACCTAAATTCTTGCATGTCTGCCAAGAATCACGAGAAGAGACATTAAGGATTTATCAAGAGTCGTGGAGTAGTAAAGAAAACGAGCAAAATGATGAGGCGGTCAGTCGTAGCATCTCTGGTCGCTGGTGGAAGCCATCTATGGACATCATTTATGTTCCATACTGGCTTCCGATCCATTCCAAAGACAATCCCAACTTGAATCCAGGTGTGAAAGATATGAGTTTCCCTCTTGATAATCCGTTTTTCCAAAAGCGAATGGGTGCGATGCAGCATCTTGCAGTTTCGACAAAAGCTACTGGGATCCGGTGGATTTGGGAAGAGTCTATAAGACACCACGAGCCTTTCAGCTGGCTGAAGTTAGCGACGTGGATAGCTGAGTTCCCAAATCTAAAGACATTCACATATGTTGTCGATTATTACACATATCGTTATAAGGAACAGGGACCTCGATGGATTGACCATCCGGATTTTGCGATAGAAGGAAACTGGCGAAGTCACTCGGCAAGATGGGATATGACCCCGTCTAAAATTATTGCGGAACTCGAAGAGTGTTTCGAGCGCATAAGGTCTGAAAGAGGAAATACGAAATGGAAGCCTCCGAGGGTGAGGATTGTATTGGATGAGGAGGATCAGGAAGAATGCTACTCTCGTGAGGCTCGTCTTCGAAGAAAGAATCCTGGGTCGTATGAGCATGGTGCAGCGACGGTGGATATGGCAATTGGAGGCCAGTAAGGGTATTGCAACAATACGCTTGTCGATCAAGTGGGCTAGAAATGAAAGTTTGGGAGCTTGATATGTGAGGGAACAATCGGGGCAAGCGAGTACGTAGAAAGAGACTTCGCAGGAGGACGTTGAACGATGTCTAGAGAATGTTATATTGCCTTTTATTAGATAGTTTTTGACAATATATATTAGGGAATCCTTCCAGAATCTTGAGAATTATTCATTTGTTATTGGCTTATTACTGAAGCTGTGATCTTGAAGTCTTTGAATATTATTTATGAGATCTTGTAATACTTAAATCAATGATAATAAATAAATTAGTCTCGAACTAACATCTGTGTCGGTGTTGTTCACTCACATGCGCAAAAGGATTTTGATTGGTGCATGGTGGGGTTGCTGGGGTATTTGGGTGCTGTAAACAAAAAACGTAAACAACTCAACTACCATTTTCAATTTAAGAACAACTCCATTTCCAAATATTACGACAACAACATTTTCGACAAACTACTAACCACCACAAGAGCCTCACGATGTCTGCTTCTGAGGACTTAATCGATTTCGACATAATTGAGAATCAGAAAGAAAACATTCAATCATTACCACAAGGACGATCCGCAAGGAATCTCGCAAAAATATTCTCGCCATCACCTCTACAACCCCTCTCAACACCTACACCATCCGATACCAGGAATTTGAACGATGCCGTTAGAGAGGAATATGAAGAAGAGTTAGCCAATATTGGCGAATCAGACGACCCATTAGATATCTACGATCGATATGTCAAATGGACACTCGATGCATACCCCTCCGCACAAGCAACACCCAATTCACAACTTGCCCCTCTTCTCGAGCGCGCAACGAAGACCTTCCTCAATTCTCCACAATACAAAAATGATCCACGATACCTCAAGCTATGGCTTTCATACATACGATTTTTCTCCGATACACCGCGCGAAACATTCGCATTTCTAGCTCGTCATAATATTGGGGAAGGATTAGCATTATTTTACGAAGAATTTGCAGGATGGCTAGAAGGTGCTGGCAGATGGGTACAAGCAGAGGAAGTTTTTCAGATGGGTATTGATAAGGAGGCTAGACCGACACCACGTTTGTTACGCAAATTCAACGAGTTCCAGGAAAGATTTGCTGCTAGACCAGATAGCAGTAATGAACCTTCATCCCCCGCATTACCGACAGTTCGACCAGCTCTGGCGGCCAAGATAGACCCATATGCTGCAGTGGCGCCGGCCCCAGAGGATCCCCAAGCACCTAGACCTTCTGCAGGTGTAGGCGGCGGTTCAACAACGACAAAGAGTGGTAAGCAGAAGTTGAAGATTTTCTCGGATGATGAGAATGGATCTGCACCGGCAGTCTCTGCATCTCCAGGGGCTGGTTGGGAAAGTATAGGATCATTGGCAGACCGAAAGAAGGAAAATAGGATTGAACCCAAGCCATGGGTTGGAGAAACATTGAAAGCGGGTGGAAAGAAGAGTAGTACCAAGATGGCAATTTTCAAGGACGAGGTATGTTATTCCTTCCGTTCTATTGTCCCTTGTTTTGCATATGTTGATGATCATAGGACTAATTTTTGGCACTTGTGGCGCTATGTATTTCAGTCATTAAAATTACCTCAAATCACAATTCCAGAATTGCAACAAGTGACTATTAATCCTAGAAATGGCCGAAGTGAACAAATTTTTGTTAATCTTGAAGCTGTGTATCCTAGTCCGGATGAAATTGGGACAGAATTGAGCTTCGAAGAATTACGGGCTGCTCATCGTGGATGGTTGGATAAGTCGTGGGAACCGGAATTGGATGTACCGTCGGAGCCAATGTCAAGTGAACCAGCTCAAGATTCTAATATGGGCATTGAAACTATTACACATCAAATTCCAGAGAGGCTAGTTATTGCTCGGGATTCAGTATTTTCCAATGAAAATCGCAAGGAGAAATTTGCAATTGCTCGGGATCCCGTACCTACGGATGAGAATCGGCCAGAGAAGCTCGTTATTGCTCGGGATCCTGTATATACTGACGAAAATCATCGACCGGAAAAGCTCGTTGTTGCTCGAGATTCAGTATACCTAGATGAAAATGGAGCAAAGAAAGAACATAATAGGGAAACCAAGCATAGGAGAATGAAAGTTAAGGAGGTCAATAAGACGCAAATAAGTGAGTATTTGAGTAATCTTTGGTAATTTTGAAAGCTAATAATCTGTAGTCAGCGCCAAACTTTCTTCGCCGACGGGGAAGAAGATGAAAAAGAGGAAGGCATCCAAGGAGCAAACGATGACTCTTCATACTAAAGCAGCCACGGATGAAATTTACGATATCTTTAACCAACCCCTCAAACCAGCAAATGAGGAGGAGGAAGAGGAAGAAGAGGAAGAAAGTGATGATGACGATGAAGACATGACTGATGGTGATTATACAAGTGGCGGAGAAAGCACCATGACAGGGGGACTTCATGGTACTAGTGAAGCTGGTGATGATGACGAAACTACGGATGTAAAGAGTGAAAGCGAGTGGACCGAATTTACAGCGCAGAGGCCTGGTCCAGATATGGACGATGAAGATGGAACCATAGCCTCTACCTTCACCGATGGAGAAGATGAAGAGTTCGAGGCTATCAAGGTTGCAATTCCTCGTGATGTCGAAGAACACGATGATCTCGTGACTCCAATAGCCGAGGATGGACCATTCAGATCAACGACAAGTTTTGTGCCAATACCTCCAGAAGATTATGATCCACCAACTCATCCATATCGAGACCCCGCTCAAGTTTCTCAAAATCGACTTCCTTTCATGACCCCAATCGTTGAGAGAACTGAATCTTCGCTTGGATTACCAACAATCAGGGATCAGAAACATTACTTTAATTCTACCACTAGTCCTAGCAGAGGTAGTGGATCAAAGATACAGGTTTTCCAAGATGATGATGAGGAGGAGGAGGATAGCAGTCCATTGAGAGAAATTGTTAATGAAGCGAAGCCCATTGACAGAATTCCGCAACCACAATTAGGCAAGAAAAAGCCTTTGTCAAGTTCGACGGCATTCGCCAAAGAAATCGCACCTAAAGGTCCTATTATTCACGATTCCCAATGTAATCCGGTCGATGAAGGTATTCGACAATTAATATTCGAGAAGTTACAACCTCCTCTCAGCTCTTATGAAGGATTTTCTCAACACGACGAGACGAGAGGTCAGTCAGCAGAATTAAAGAAATATGCCAAAGCAGCTTCGAGAGCGAAAGGCTCAAGCGACAGAACTAGTATCTCAGCGCCCCCGACCCTGGAATTTCCTGGAACAGATAGACAATACACATTGAAACGAGAACTTGGTGCCGGCGCATTTGCCCCCGTGTATCTACTCGAAAGTGGAACAGAAGATGCCGAGCAAGATGAGAACGAAACTCCGGCAGTCATGGGCAAGGGAGCTTTCGATCACTTTAATCGCAAATCACTAGAAGCATTAAAGATGGAAGATCCACCAAGTGCATGGGAATTCTACATCATGCGCCAAGCGAAACGAAGATTGGGAGTTTCCCGTCCTGCAGAAAGTATTCTTGATGTGTATGAAATGCATCTTTATAGAGATGAATGCTATTTGATAGAAGAATATAGAGATCAAGGTACTCTACTGGATATCATCAATATCTCCCGCGCAGATGCCAAGTCACCAGGTGGTGTTATGGATGAACTCCTCGTTATGTTCTTCACCATCGAGTTGTTCCGCACAATTGAAGCTCTACACTCGAAGGGTATCCTCCACGGCGATCTCAAAGCAGATAATTGTCTCGTTCGTTTTGATTCTCTCTCGGACTCTGATATTTGGAGTCCTAAATACAAGAGAGATGGAAGCGACGGCTGGAATAAGAAGGGCATTGCACTCATTGATTTTGGCAGGGGAATTGACATGAAATGTTTCAAGCCTGACGTTCAATTCATCGCGGACTGGAAGACTGGCCCCCAAGATTGTGCGGAAATGAGAGAATTAAGACCATGGACCTATCAAATTGATTATCATGGATTGGCGGGCATTATTCATAGCATGCTCTTTGGAAAATATATCGATACGATTGCTGAAAGACCAGGTGATTCAATTGGTGGAATGGGAGGTGGATTGAGAAAGTGGAAAATCAAAGAGGGTCTTAAGAGATACTGGCAAACTGAAATTTGGGCAGGGGTCTTCGATATCTTGTTGAATCCGCAGGGATATGTGGATGGAGAGGAAGGGGGAAAATTACCGGTGCTTAGGGGAATGAGGGTTATGAGAGAGGAAATGGAGGAGTGGTTGGAGGGAAATTGTGAGAAAGGCGCAGGATTGCTGAAAGGGGTTAAGAGACTGGAGGATGGGGTTAGGGAGAGAGCTAAGAGGAGGTAAATGTTTGAGTTGGGGGAATCAGTTGCTTGGGTATGGGGGGGTGTTATTAGGACATGATTTGGTAATTAGGAAGCCGGGGAGTAGGGAGTAGGATATTGCTACGGTGGAGTTTGCGGGGTATATCCAACCTACCTATCGTAGTTTCAAACCATGGCGTTCTGGTTCATGGGAAATTGAATTGTCAATCCCGTTGTAGGGCTTTGAGAATTGGATGGATAGGTAGAGATAGATGGTAGGAATTTTTTATGAGAATTTTTATGAGAAGTTTATGAGAATTTTATGAGAAGTTTATGATTTATGATGTTTGGTTCACAATAGAGGATTTAGGCTCGTGGAATAGGTACATGGATTGTATTATTGATTACCTAGGTATGTATGTATATAGATTGAATTGTTGAATTGTCTAAAGCTGGAATGTTCTTGTTTTGTTTTTGTTTTTTTTTGTTTTTTACTGCTAGCTGCTAGCTGCTTGCTGTTGAGATTGTGTGGTCTCTGCTCTGCTCTGCTCTGCTCTGCTCTGCTCTGCTCTGTACTGTACTTCTTATTCTTTTTTGCTGTAATCTGGAATGAAAGGCTGTGTGCTTTTTTGGGGGAGGGGGAGGGGGGGTTTTTTTGAGAGAGAGAGGGGGGGGGGGGGTGGCGGTGGGGGGGGTGAGTGAGTGAGTGAGAAGGCTTTGGGATACAGATACAGGGCTAGTTGAATTGATTATTTAGGTAGTTGGGTAGTTGGGTAGTGGGGTAGGTAGTTGGGTAGGTAGTTAGGTAGGTAGTTGGATAGGTAGATAGTTGGGTACGTAGGTAGTTGGTTGGTTGGTTGGGTGGGTGGTTAGTTGATTATTTAGATAGTTGGTTAGTTGAGTAGTTGATTGGTTGATTGGTTATGTATTTTTTTTTTTTTTTATGTGAGAGGGATGGAGAGAGGGGTGGAGAGGGGAGTATGGAGTACGGTAGATAGGGGGGTGAATAGGGGGGTGGATGGGGGGGTGAATGGCGGGGTGAATGGGGAGGTCAATGGAGGGGGGTGGATGAGTATCATGTGGATATGGTATTTTTGGGGGGGGAGGAAGGGTTAATATTGTTACCCACTATCTTTTATAAGGTCTTTTTTTGATGTAGGAAACTATTTGATAAGGTGGTTTGAATTGGAGTGATGATGATGATGATGATAGTGATGATGATTATTCTCGGGTTTTGATATTTGTTTTAATATTTTATGATCTTTATATAGGTACCTAGAGGTATGTAGAATAAGTTATGCATCGCTTTTATTTTATCAGCAATAGAATCATTCTGCCCACCTAGGTATACAAACTGATCTTGGCTGACAAATACGATATGATATATATACTTTATATACCTCCTTATTGTCAAATGAATTACCTGTCTATTTTTTTATCCTGTTGTAGATTTAGAATTTGTGATATAATATAGGTGATTGATAGGTAATGAGGTCTATAATGAGGTTGTTCGTTGTACGATTTTGAGATCTTTCGATTCTCGATATTTAGAGGCTTGGTATTGTTAGTAAGACTTGATTGTTAAGGTTTTACATGAGTTTGAGATTTTGATGAATGTTAATGTTAGAGATTTCAATTACAGTTTTAGGATTTAAAACAGTCAAACTTTTGATAATCATTAAAATTCGGCAATTTTGGGTTCAGAGCAAAGTTACAGGAAAAGTGCTATCGTTTCAATGACTTTATGAGAACACACTTTTGTTAAGGTTTGGTTTGTGAATGAGTTTATATATCTAAGGAGCGTACGATTTGAGACTGTTTTATTCTTGTCTTGGGTTTCATCTCTATCAATCCTTGACTTCTTCAATTTATATTCTCATCTACTTCTACTTTAACCCCCACTTCCACTCTCATATCTGGAAATCCCGATTATTACCCTTTGATTTCTAGGATCGAGTGCTTGTTGATGATGGAGTCGTCTTCTTGGGGTTTTCTGCTTCTCTTTTCTTCTTTTCCGCATCACCACTCCATGTGACTTTCGCTTTGCCTTGATTTCTGTCTGCATCAGTCGCCTTCTTCATCAGAGGGCAGGAAGAGTCTTTTTGCTTCTGTCCGTCACTTGCAATTGGTTTAGAAACAGTTTCCCTCAATGATATCCCCGATTCATGCTGGTTCTTGTTAGCTGTCATTCTTTGCATCTTCAAAACACGAAAATAATAAAAGAAGAGCAAAGGAAAATAAAATCATACATTAGTCCGACCTCTCTTTAAATTGGCTCGAGCTTCCTCATAGTCTTGTAAGGCGTGTATGTAATTTCGTTTCAATCCAAACTGATTCTTGTTAGCTGAATTTCTCAATATCCTCAAAATCCAAGAATGATAGAAGGAGAAGGGAAAAGGGAAATAAAATCATACGTCATCACGTTTGGGTTTGGAAGGCCGACTAGTTTTCTGAGACATTGTAGATGTGAGATATTGTTTGATTCAATTGTTTGAATTATTGTAGGGATCGTATTGTTGCGTTTTGATAATGATGAAAAAAGAAGTTTTTTAGATGTGACTTCATGGTTTATATATACGCTGTTGAATTGCTTGCCTATCTTCTTATTCTGTTATTGATTCATAGTTTTCCACGTGGAGTTTGTAAATGCCTTGTAGGCAACGATTTACAGGGTCAACACTTTTCGTTTAATGGAGTGCTGAACGTCTAGGTTCCTAGGCAACTGGGTCGAGGAAATATTAGCGCCCGGATATTTGTTCGCTTATTTTATTCAGTTCATCGAGCACCACCAAGAGACCGCATATGAATGTAATCAAGATTAAACGGATGGAGAGGACAAATGAGCGGTCCAGGCTACTTCCCTTGAGAAAGTGGTTGTAAAATACTTCTACTTGCAGAATATATCAACCAGGGAAATTCTCACGGCCGATTGTTGAGATAGTCCGTGACCACAAAGTAGACCAAAACGAAGACCTTTCTGCCTTGATTACTTTTTTAATGTTGGGTTGTACGGGTATCAATGAAATAAAACAAAAGTTATGGGGAGAGAAAAGATAGGTACGGGTTTAAAAGGAAGAGAGGGAATAAATTGGATAAGCGAAAACGAAGCACGGGGAAGACGAGTAAGGATTAGAGCGGAGAGAGGTGAAGGGAGGCTCTAACATTGTCATTCGCTCAAGCTTTTCTTCATGAAATGTAGGGTGACTTCTATATCTTCAATCTCTGCGACTACTTAAATAGGTACTCTGACTTGTGGAGCTAGATTGGAGATCTTGGATAGAAACTCACATGTACTTTTCCTAATTCTTATTAATGAGATCGTGGGTTCATATCTTGATCTCAAATTCGACTCATCAACATTTAGAAGAAGAGAAGCGATTGTTTTTCGTGATGTAATCTTGATTCGTGCCTTTTAATATTAATCATTTCTTCTGAAAATTTACCTCTACCAACGTGTCCGGCTTTCGCATTCATAATTCCTTCAGCATCTAATTTGAATCGACTACTGACATGAAAGTTGCATGGCACAATTGACTACCGACATGAACGTTGCATGCCACAATTGCTTGATTGATACTCCACATCATCTTTTGAGCAATGATTGATTAATTGGGTGTGCAACGTCTGAGTAATATTATCCACTGTTATAGACTTCTTTCTATGTTGAATGTATTCACTTGACATAACCAATCAACAGACAAAAAGCGAATTAAAACTTGAAGAACTGGTCAGTTCGTCTCCTAACCTAATTGGGAATTCGAAGATCTTAAGTCTACTGTAATTTCAAGATTCAAAACACATGAAAGATTTGAACCCTCCGACCCTTCATCTTTTTACAGACAACAATTCGATCTTGCAAAAAAATCAAATCCAAATAAAGGTCACATACAACCCAATTCAACTTGATTTATCAAGAAATTCATGTCGAACCAATTAGTTCAGTCAGAGACTGAGCACCACAAAGCTCAAAGCCTAATCTAAACCTCTCAACACCAGGCCATGTTAGCCCTCGAGAACAACCAATACAAACAAAGGGTTGGTAAAATCGAGGCTGAACACCTCAGAAATATTACCTTCATGGAGGGTGAGCATCAGCGACACATTGACTTCTCCATCTCCAATCATCGAGAATCCATGACCCTGCTCACGACCCACCACTAAAGATACCTCTCCGATGTCTCAATCTTGTACGAGCAACAGATCCGTAACCTCACAGCTCAGCACTAACAACAAATTGCCAATCTCAGAGCTCAGAGTCAGGAAGGTCAAGAAGAAGAAATTGCCAGACTCGAAACTAGCTACAAAAAGCAATGGACAGCTGGGAAGAGGAACAGAAAGCCGCCATTAAAGATGAGAATGACGAGTACGAGGAAGAACTCGCAATACTTGAGAGCGACTCGTACTGAGCTAATTAAGGACTTTGAGGAAGAGGATTTGGACCATGAAGAGTCAAATAAAGCGCGAATCGAAAAGGTTGAGAAGGAAGGCCGGAAATGCTTTTCTGAACTCCAGAGTACTCACGAACTCCGGATGGCGAAGTTGGAAAAGGCTCAAAAGGAGAGCATGGGACATCAGTAGATGAAGTTTCGAATTGGAATTTCGATGCCCTGTGCTGTATCGGGAATGGGAAGCGATTCTGTTTACACGGTCGATGAGAGCAATTGGTGGTCTGAATGGATGGAATTTGTGTTCTCGATGATCACAGCAAGATGTGACCGCTCAAGCAGTACGAATGGCTTACAGCTCATGGACACCAATGAGTTGGTTTTTCAACAGGCACAAAGCCGAGAATGCAATTATTATTTTAACATATCCTTGTGTGCATTGCTTGTTACATATAAGACCACTCAGCCCCAAGATTGGCATTGAGTGGCGTTTGGTGCGAATGCTCCAAGTCAGCACTCAGCATAAGCATAAATTCTTGGCAGATGGCCTTCTGTTGGACAAACCGTATCATTTACAAATGGAAGACTCCAGAAGTGTATTGGATGGTGAGGCTAATAAATTGCCAAACAAACTTCTGCGTTGTCGCCACGAGCGCATTCCGCCGTCTCATCACAACATCTGGCATAGGCTATCATGAGATAGGATTCTGGCCATGAAAGATAACGACGCATTCAAGCTATAATTAATACCTGATCTCAACGACACTTCAGCACTTGCCGAATACAATCAATCGGTCGAATGGTTAGATTGTATCATATAGGTTCCTTTGTTAAGTTGCTCGAGCTGGAAGCAGGCCGTGAATAGTGAGAGTGGAAGGATGCCGATAAAACGCAAGCCGTTTGGTTGCCTCGTACACATCACGGGACTGACAAACTCCTAATTGACATGAGCGGTTCTAGTGATAACAGCCATGCTGAGTCGTGTGTGAGACTTGATGCTTGGCGAGAAGGACCCCGAATGTTCGCTGCTGACATAAACACCGAGGAGTACTGAGAGAGAACGCCGGCATTCAGAGCTCTGGTGAGAGATGTATCAAACCAAACGATAGCCGTTTGGTCGTCAAAATATAATTCCGCTCATTCAAATCACACTGCAGAGTATTTTTCGACTCAAGATTGAAGTGGTTTGGCCCTTTCAGCTCGGGAGTCGGGATTCAAAACATACCCTAACACAAAGCATACGATCTTTAATCCGATGCAGTCGTTCGTTGTCGCGAAAAGGCATCAGAAGAACCAGATTGACTGTCTCTGGATTAGACGTATTCAAAGCAAACGCTGGAAATTCCAAACTGCCACGTGACTCTCGTTCTCCATTCCCAGTGTACTGAGGCCGATTTGAATCATTTGGCCAAAACCCCAAAAATAGATTTTCGTTTAAGCTAAAAACATATTTAAAATTTAGTGGTGTGCTTTTATACAGAAAAAAGTATTCAATTCAGTATACAATTTTAAGGGAATTGATAAAATAGAAAGGAAAGTATTACAGGCATTGATACGATATGGAACCGACATCGGGCCGACTATTAGTCCGGAAGCGAGCGAAGTGTTTTTACATATATATATATAGCTTCAAAAGAGAGATTTCGAAGGAATTAATAAAAAGTCTTATTCTAATCCTACACCTATATTTTATATTAGTTATCACTTTATATTGATTCTAACAATTCTTTTTATTCAATCCTTTTAGAATAAGTCATTAACTAGTTTTTGGGAATAGTTTCAAAAGCTTTGAAAACAATCTTTTCGAAAATCTTATTTCAATTAAACTACGATACCTTTACGATATAGAAAAGACGTGTATCGTAGATATGGTTTTAGTATTAAGTATAGTATATATTATATTAAAAGCTATGTACAATCTAATTGACTATATCAATCAAGATGATTATATAATATATCTAATATATTTAGCCTGTTTTCTAAACCAATCCTACAAGACATGTATTCTTGTATATATATTCTAATCAAACTAAAATAAATCCTATTTCCGTATTCCTTTTATATATACTAAAATAACTATATAATATATTTAATTCTCTTATTCTGTTAATCAATCAACAATCATTATAGAAATCCACCTATATATCAGTTTATTATTATATTTAAATTAAATAGATAATAGAATTCGCTGAATTAATAGCTAGAGTATTCGTAGTTTATTATCCTGGTATAACTTTGCTTATTTTGAGTAAAATTAAAATGTAGATTCAGACTGATCCTACAAGACAAGTAATACAACTTGTTATATACCAATTCCTTTTTATAGGTTAAATAGAAGAATAGACTTATAAATACTAGTTCTTAGATTCTAATATTTTAAAATATTATCCTCAAATAATGTATATAAATATCCAATTCGAAACTTGAAAAGCTTTAAATAATTGATATAAAACAATCTACAAATAACTTTTCTATTGATTTATTACAATTTATAAGATTTCTAATAATTTTCTGCAAAATTGATAATAATAAAAGGACTATAATAAAAGAGATATAGTTTTTTCTTAATTGAAATACTATTATATAATATCATTATATTTTTTGATTAATATATAAAATTACCTTATACATTTATATTATATTTTTCCTTATTAATAACTTTCTTCTAATCAAATTATTCTAAAACTTTCTATCTAATTAACTTCCGATTGTATATAAATTTGAAAACTTTAATATAGTATATCTTAGAAAGGAATTTCTTGTTAATATTTTTAATAGTAAAAAGATAACTTTATATTTCTTTTTATTTATAAAAAAAAAATTCGATTTCTAAAGAATCAATTAATTAAAAGTCAAATATGATTTTATAAAAGGAATAATCTAAATAAGATATCTTTTATATATTAAAAAAGTTAATATTAATTTAAATCTCAAATAACCAATCAGTAATACTAGATTCGATTTTTTTAAATATTTTTTAAAATAGATTGTTTCCTTTTTTGGCTATTTCAAATAACTTTTTTATTTTAATAGTTATAGAAATAAAAAATATACCGGATTTTTTCGAAAAATTATATAAAGTTTTATTTTCAAAATAGATATCAGGATTATATATTTCTTTAATAGAAATTTTAATTATATTAAAAAGCTAGTCTAGATATTTAATAGTCTTTGCTCCTGTAGTATCAACTATCGGGAATATCCAAATATAATAAGAGAAGTAGTTGATAATTAATAAAATATAAATGAAATTGAGATATCCTTTTTTATCGAATATATTATTATTATAATCTATATTTTCAATAATAAATTCTATATTTATTAATTTCTATATTATAAACCAAGTTATATTTAGAATCTAAGCTTTATTAATTGATATAGATAAAAATAATTCTATAAAATCAAATTTAATAAAAATAAATAAATAATTAATCTTAAGAAATATTAAATAAAAGATATACTATTAAATATTATACTTAATATACTTCAAATAATCTAAAATATATTATTTAATATTTAAAACTAAATAAGGCTAATAATAATTTCTAAGTTTTTTAATAATCAATTTAATAACAAAATATCCTTTCTGATTATATATATATAATAGAATATCAGATATTTTATATCTTTATATATAATACTTATCAACTCTATAAAATATATAAAAAAGTTTGTTTTTGAATAAAAAAAAATCCTTAATATAATATTAAAAAAATCCTTTTTCAAAATTAGAAATCCTATTAGGAAATATATTAATAGAAATAAAATTAAATATATTATAATATTATAGATTGTTTTTATATTTATTAAAAATTGATTTAAAAAAATATTATTAATAATAATTATAAATTGATCTAATATTGTAATATTCATATTATTTCCGAAAGATTATAATATATTATAATTTGTAATAACTTAAAATTGCTTGGTTTTATATAAACAAAAAAGTTTTTTATGATTATTAATTTTGTTTTTCTAAATCTATTTAGAATTATTATTATTTTTTTGAAATAAATTAAAAGAGTTTAAAAATAAATCTAATTTGTAATTCAGATTAAGAAAAATAATATAAAAAAATATATCTATAACTTTATTGCAAAATCCCTCAATATATTTAATAATAATATTTAGAATAAATAGTTCTATAATCTAACAAATATAGATTCTATAAGTTTTGACTTTAGGAAATAAAAATCTAATTAATAATATATAATTAATAAAAATTTTATAAAATCTCGAATAATAGAAATAATAATAATATTTATATACAAACTTGATAATTATTAAAAGCTTATATTTATAAATATTATAATTTCTTTAAATTTTTTTTAAAAAAAAAGTTATATAAAACAGAATATATAATCAAAGATCTTAAGATAATTCCTAGAAAGTATTGTTTTTATATAATATAATAATCTAATACAAAAGCATTAGAATCTATATATATTTCAATAAAAAAAGAATAATCTATACTATATAATTCAATTACTTTAGAATATTTAGTTTATAGAAATTTAAAAATAAGCTATTTATAAAGTCTTTATTATTATTCAATATTATTAGTAAAATAAAAAAGAAGATAAAATATCTTAGCAAAATTCTTAATACCCTAATAGATTATTTGAATAATAATTAGAAAACTATAAACTTTAATAGAATTTCTTGAAATAGAAAAGTTTTTAATTTTAATAATTTAAATTGATTTGATAATTATTATATTGCTTATTTAATAAAATATATCTAAAACTTTTATTTCATTTATAAATATATATAGTTTTTTAAAAAAAAGATATAATTGAATAAAAACTAGTTTTAGAAGAAGATAATTTGCAAAAGTATTATAAATGTTTTCAGCTATTTTATATCCAAAAAAAAATTATTTATATAAAACTTGATTAAAGCTAAATCATCTGAAAAATTAGATTCAAAAATAGAAAAGTATTCATTAATATGAAAAACACTATTCTTTAAATAATAATATTTTTCTAAAAAATAGAGAATATAATTATAAATAATATATAAAAACTTGAATATTGAAAAATATATAATTTAAATACCTTATAAAATATAAATAGATTATATTTAAACAGAATTTTTTATAAAAAAGATAAAAAATATATTTATTCATAAAATAAAAAAGTATTATTTAATATATATATTTAAAATCAAATTATATAAAAACTGTATAACTAA